TGGAGTGCTGCAGAGCACAGCGAGGGGCTGTCTGGCACAAAGTGCTCTTTGGGATGGATCAGAGGGATGACAGAAGGAGCCTCCTCCATCGTGTCGACTGTACGGAAGAAACCGGCTCACATCCTGAGTGAGGGTGTGAAAGTGTAAACGTGCACTTGTTAACCAACGAGCCCACGGTTACATGCGGCCTCCTCCCCCCGTTGCTGCCTCTGATACAGGTGGGAGCCAGTGCGCACGGGGAGCCAGCTTTTAAGCCAGCTCCCCACACCCTGCCTTCCCTCCGGCCCTGCTGCCGCGGATACAGAGGCAGCAGGGGCGGGGAAGCTGCCTCCGCCCCCTCCGCATGTCAACATCTACCTGCTGACATTTTTCATCGCACCAAACCAATCGACTCCTGCAGTGCAGGCCAACGGGCTGTCTCCCCGTGCGCTGTGTGTGCATGAAGAGTGCCCCAGGTGGGAATCCCAACCAGGAGCCGAGCGCGCGGCTGTTCCTTGTCACCGCAGTGGAAGGGAGGTTCCCTTTCTGTTTCCGGTGAGGTTTTTGCCCCGGTTGAGTGGCCGAGCAAATACCCTTTGAGAATAGAGCTCTTGTTTCACTTCCACAATGTTCCTGGCAAGTCTGAGCACTCGTCAGCAGAAATCCCCTTTGGCTGCCTCCGAGCTGGCAGTTCTTCTCGGTAAGCAGCACTTCCTCCTTGGCTCCGGAGAAGCCCCTGAGATGTGTAACGCTTCTGTCTCGTTTGTGAGCGCTGGTGCCTGGGATCTGCAGTTCTGCGTTATCCAAACCCAGAGCAGAAACCTTGGCTCCTCGCCGAGCTAGGGGCTTTGTTTCCTTTGGATTCTTCAAAAGTAAAATAAAACCATTAGCCAAAGCAGCTTCCATTAACGTGCATGGTGCTTCCACACAGCAGTGCTGCTTTGCCTGCTCCCTCTCTGCCAGGCAGCCCCCTCTGCTGCAGACACAGAGGATCCGCTGTGCCTGGCCAGTGCTGGATAGCCCGGCCTGCTGTTAGTACTCTTCCTCTCTGATTGCCAATAATGGTTCTTATCTGCCTCTTTTGACTATCCCATCTGTAGGTGCTTATTACACAGTTTGAAGCCCTTAATCACAGATATTTGTATATGACCTTTTACTACTTGCAATACTGTTGTGAAGTGTCCATTCATTGTTAACAATGTATGCAGTGAGACTTCGACTCCTATATTATGTTAGTAAAGCACAGAAGTTACCTCAGTGGGAGAAGTATTTCAGTGTGTATACCTCCACCATTTTGTCAACAAAACTGTGCAGCGTAGACAAGGCCTAACTCTCTTTTGAAAATGGAATTTAGGCTACATTCCAGCTTGGTTTTCCTCTTGATTTTTCCCTACCCATTGCCTCTTCTTGTCCCCTCCCCCCCTTTTCCCCTATTTATTTTAGTTCTGGACAACCAAGACTCTGGTCATCTGAAGGAGTGGGCTATGCACACAAAAGCTCATGATACTATCTACATGCTTTGTTACTCTATAAAGTGCTACCCTGATGCCGTCAACATGTTTTGTTGGTCTTTAAAGTGCTACCAGACCATTTGTCACTTTTTAAGTTTATCCTGATTTTCATTAACCGCTTCCTCCCTGCCACACAGGGCAGGAGTGGTTTGTCTCTCTCTTGCTGCCACCAGAGCATTGTTCATGGTGTGTAAAGAATTTCTGGAGAGTGACGGATGCCCCTTTGAAAATGTTTAGGAAAAACTATTGGGTCATAAGCTCTTGGCCATGTGTCGTGTCTTGCTACTTCTGCCAGATGTCATGTGCCACCTGGGAGGCTGCATGACCAGTCCTAATACCTTTCAGCAAGCAGACCGATGAGTGTAACACTCACCCGGTACCTCCCCTTCCTGCTGTGGCGAGAAATACTCACCCACCCAATCGTGTCTTGTCATTCATCCTTATTCCCCATGTGGGCTCCTTGAAGCGGGGACTGCGTTACAGATCTAGGAAAGGTTAACTGGTTAATGGGGGATTCTTACCGGTTCCAGTTAACCCAGGAGTGGGCAATAATTTTCAGCCAGGGGCCCCGGGCTGCCTCGGAAAGGGCAGGGCTTAAGGGGGAAGGGGCAAGGCTGGGACGCTTCCTGCTTCCCCGCCCACAGACCCTGATTGGTCTGTGGGCAAGAGCGCACGTGACGTCTTTGCCCCCGACCTGTCCAACGGTGGGAGGAGACTTTGCGGGAAGTCTGCCCCCGCCCTGCAAGGCAGCGCCACACTTGGTCACACTTGAGCAGCAGCTGGCGGTTGACTCTTAAGTGCCGAGCCCCTTGCAGGGCGGGAGGAGACTGCACGCTGCCCTGCCCCCAGGCCCTGATTGACCTGGGGGCAGGGGAGCAGCAGGACCTCTGCGGGCTGGATCCGGCCCATGGAGGCCCTTTTGCCAACCCCTGAGTTAACCAGTCAATGGGGTGGGCTGGAACAGCTCCCTGCCTGCAGGGGACTGGGGCAACCTTTGCCCATAGGACCCTGGGAGCCCGTGGTAGCCCCCCATCCCCAGCACAGGGCTGGGGGCGGGCACCCTGTGGGCTGGAGAAGTCCCCAAAAAGTCAGTAAGTGGGGACCACCACAGGATGACTGTTCGACCCAGGGTACGTCTCTCCTGCAGTGTCAGACCAGGGTTAGTGGGACTCGAGTCAGCTGACCTGTGGCAGAGAACCCTGGGTTAGTGCGTCTACATGGTGTTTGAACCCTGCATTAGGACTTTTTTCTAATCCCTGCTCGAACGTGGGCCTCAGGTGTCCACACTGCAGGGTGCAGGCCTGAGTCAAAGTTACTGTCCCAGCGCATCCCCCTCCCTCCAAATGTCACCGCTTTTAGCCCTTGGACTGTGCTGCCTGGCCTGCATGTTACTAGGGAGCAGCTGGCCTTGCAGAAGGCTTGATGGGTTCGCTCTCCATTGTGAACCCTGAAGGCTCTTTGCGAGTCTTGCAGACCCCTGTTCAGGAGAGAGTGGCTCAAGGCAGACTTTTGCCAAGGGGTGTGGATTTCCATTGTGAGGAGAGCACAGTGTTGGGGTAGGGAGCTGCCCCTTGGAATTATGGGATACTTCCAGCCGCTGCCTGGGACCCGAATCACACACGGCTACGTCTACACGGCAGAGAGATGGAGCTCAGATCCTGGGTCCTGGCTCAACTCGAGCTCAGAGCCCCCGGCCCCTCAATAGCCTGGAGCCCCTCATCTGAGCCCTGAATTAGTGCAGCTGGGGTAGTGATGCTAAGGGGATTAGGCTCCAGCCCAGGCGTGTATGTTGCAGTGCGGACATGCCCTCAGTGACGGGCGATACCCTGAACAAAAGCATGTTCCCCCGAGAGATACTGCATCTGTTAGTGAAGACCAGGAGCACAAGGCAGAGGCCAAAAAGCAGCCTAAAGTGCATGACCATACAGATGTGTCCTGCAACCAGCGGTCTTGCTGATACAGCTGTGTCCTTGATTGAACTTGGGGGTTTCTTCCCACGCCAGGATCTGCTCCTGGTTCTCTGAGCATCTCCACTTGTGTCACATGCTGCAGAATTTTCTGCTCCATGCTGGAGGGGGATTTAAAGCCTGTTTGATTTCTCCTCCGTTCCAGGGAGGACCTGGACCAAGAAGAGAAGGCCAAGTTTGGGGAGCTGTGCAGCGGAGAGCACGGAAAAGGCAGGGAGTGGTTTGCAAGATACGTCAGCGCTCAGGTGAGGGAACAGGCAGGGATAACAGCTGCCTGGCAATAACTCCTCTGTGCCAAAGCAGATGGGGGTGCCTGGGGATGGTCTGTGCAGGAGGGTGGGTCTTGGGGACACCTGATAGACCAGCAGAGTGGTGCGTTTGGAGAACATCTCACAGGGGAGCGCTGGGGGCCAGAGCTGTATGCAGGGGACTGCATTAAAATTGCAAATGTTCCACTCACCAGGCAGCAGACCATTAGAGAAAAGTCGCTCGTTTCAATTTAAAAAATGGAAAATAACGTCTCAAAACCCCTCCCAGCCCCAAGTACAATCCCACGCGGTCACACCAGCAGGAAGTGGCCTTGCCCCGCTGTGCCCAGCGCCCTGGGCGCCCTCGTCTCAGCGCGTCATCGTTCGCAGCGGCGAGGAAGCGGGCGCGCGTCAGCTCCCTTTGTCTTTGCAGCGCTGTCACTCCAAGTGTGTGTCGGAGCAGACGTTCTACCGGCTGGTGCAGTCCTTCGCTGTGGTGCTGTTTGAGTAAGTAACGGCGGGTGGCAAAGCAGGATTTCTCTTTCCCCAGCGCCCTGGGCGCCCTCGTCTCAGCGCGTCATCGTTCGCAGCGGCGAGGAAGCGGGCGCGCGTCAGCTCCCTTTGTCTTTGCAGCGCTGTCACTCCAAGTGTGTGTCGGAGCAGACGTTCTACCGGCTGGTGCAGTCCTTCGCTGTGGTGCTGTTTGAGTAAGTAACGGCGGGTGGCAAAGCAGGATTTCTCTTTCCGAGCCGTGAGAGGGGTGCTTTGCCCCCCCCTCCTCTCGCCCAATTCTGGGAGCCTCGGCTAAGTAGGAGATCAGGAGCCGGCCCTATTCGAGTCACAGGGCGACCTCTATGCAAGCACTTTCTGTGCCCCAAAATTGTTTGGAGGGCCACATCTCAGGTAGCAGCCGCTCCCAAAATTGTTTGGAGGGCCACATCTCAGGTGGCAGCCGCCCCAGTGTGAATACGCCATGCTACTTGGAAGCAGAGTGTCTGGGTTAGTGGAAAGCAGGGAAGGGGAGCTCTTCCTGGGAAGGCAGGTGGGTTTAGGGAAGGTAACGCTGAGTTGGGTGGGGTTCTGAGCAGGCGGGATGCAGTAAGTCTGACATTTCCCGACTGGGATCTACGGGAACTGGAGCTTGGGGAGGGTTAAGCTGACACTATGACAGAGACGGCCAGGTCCCGGAACATCTAGTATTGCAGGGCGCCTGCACGTTCTGCTATGTTTATTCCCTCCGTCTCTTCCCCACCCATTTCAGGTGTCACCAGATGGATGACTTTGGACCCGCCAAAAATCTAATGACCATGTGTTTCACGTACTATTACATCGGTAAGTGGCTTGTGGGCCTGGGGTGCTTTTCAAAGGAGCAGGGGCATTGACACAGCTCTGCAGAATAGGAGTTGGGGAAGGGGTCGTTAGGATGGTGCTACAGGGCAGAGTTTGTGCCGTCGGGTTAAAATGGACTCGTGAGGCTCAGCGATTCCCCCCTGCTAGGAACTCTGATGCCTCTGATTCCACTGAGCTGGGAGCTTTTACAATAAGAAATCCATGTCCAGTGGCAGCTCTTTTGTTATGACTGGGACCAGCTTCTTTTAATTACCAAGTGTCTCTAAATCGCTCTTTCTTGTGCCCCAGCCAGCCAGAGATTCCGATTAACCCCTGTCCACGCAGGCAGGATAAACGCTCATTTTGACCACAATTTCTGGCAGAAACCACCTGGAATTTTATCATCTATCTCTCTCATAACCCCCCCCCCCCAACTCCCCCTGGTTAGTCTAGCCAGTGGTTAAGGGTTTTGTTCCACTGTCTGCAAAAACATGGAAGACGGGCTGTTTGTAATGCAGGTTTCATCCCCGTCCCGTCCCCCATTACACACTTGAGGGGTCTGGGTCTTGCTTATAGTGAGTGGGGTTTTTAATGGCTTTTTGAGCCAGAGACCCCATGTTGTCACCCTTCCTCTAGCCATCATGAGTCGGGAAAATAACCTGGTGACACTCTCCCCTCTTTGCACCCACCCTGATGGGCGGTTGCAAGGTGATTGTGATGCTACATACAGTAGCTAGGGATGTTAAGGGATAACTGGTGGCTTGGCCGGGCTGGGAAGGAGGGCGTTCCGACCTGTCCTGGGCGTTCCAACCTCCAGCCGGCCCCCACCCGGAGCACAGTACGGTGGATCTAGCGGAGTGCCCCAAGGTTCGGTTCTAGGGCTGGTTTTGTTCAATATCTTTATTAATGACCTGGATGAGGGGATGGATTGCACCCTCAGCAAGTTTGCGGCTGACTCTAAGCTGGGGGGAGAGGTAGATACGCTTAAGGGCACAGATAGGGTCCAGAATGACTTAGACAAATTGGAGGATTTGGCCACAATAAATCTGATGAGGTTCAGCAAGGACAAGTGTACAGTCCTGCACTTGAGACAGACGAATCCCAAGCATTGTTACAAGCTGGGGACCAACCAGTTAAGTAGTAGTTCTGCAGAAAGGGACCTGGCGGTTACAGTGGATGAGAAGCTGGATAGGAGTCAACAGGGCGCCCTTGTAGCCAAGAAGGCTAATGGCATATTAGGGTGCATTAAGAGGAGCACTGCCAGCAGATCCAGAGATGTCATTATTCCCCTTTATTCGGCTTTGGTGAGGCCACATCGGGAGTATTGTGTCCAGTTCTGGGCCCCCCACTACAAAAAGGATGTGGACGCATTGGAGAGGGTCCAGCGGAGGGCAACCAAAATGATTAGGGGGCTGGAGCTTATGACCTACGAGGAGAGGCTGAGGGACTTGGGTCTGTTTAGTCTGCAGAAGCGAAGAGTGAGGGGGGATTTGATAGCAGCCTTCAACTTCCTGAAGGGAGGTTCCAAAGAGGATGGAGAGAGGCTGTTCTCAGTAGTGACGGATGGCAGAACAAGGAGCAATGGTCTCAAGTTGTGGTGGGAAAGGTCCAGGTTGGATATTAGGAAAAAGTATTTCACTAGGAGGGTGGTGAAGCACTGGGATGGGTTCCCTAGGGAAGTAGTGGAGTCTCCATCCCTAGAGGTGTTTAAGTCTCAGCTTGACAAAGCCCTGGCCGGGTTGATTTAGTTGGAATTGGTCCTGCCTAGAGCAGGGGGCTGGACTTGATGACCTTCTGAGGTCTCTTCCAGTTCTGTGATTCTATGGATCCAGCCTGACCTGAGTAAGGATGTTAAGGACTACTCAACTTATTACATAGAGGCAGCAAAGTGGAGGTGGGGGAGAAGGGGTACTTCAAAGCAGCAGCGCCGCACAGCTGAGCAGGGGATCAGCAAACTGACATTTAAAAGGGGCAGCGCCGTGGAGCCCAGGGTCAGCTGGGGACTCTCCAGCTGACCCTGGGCTCCGTGGAGCTGCCCCTTTGAAATGCAAGGTGGCATTTCAGTGGGGCAGCCGCCACACAGCTGAGCTGGGGATCCCCAGCTGACCCCAGGCTCCCCCTTTGAAATGCCACCTTAGGGTTTCAAAGCGGCAGCACTGCACAGCTGATACCTGGCTCAGCTGTGCAGCGCTGCTGCTTTGAAGTACCCTTTCTTCCTCCCCATTTTGCTGCCTCTATGTCCCCAGCTGACCCCGGGTTCTGGGGAAATGCCACGCGGAGCTTGGGCTCAGCTGGGGAGGGCGCTGTGACTTAGAAAAGCACAAGAGCTGCCACTGGGGACTCTTGTGCATTTCAAAGCAGGCACTCCTGCATGCAGCCCGGAGTCAGAGGGACTACCCTCTGGTCCTGGGCTGCATGCAGCGTTCCACATGCCTCCTTTGAAATGTACAAGAGCCTTAACGGGGGCTCTTGTACATTGGGAGGAATGCGGAAATGCCTATCCACTCGTTGAGTAGTTGTTGGAAATTCCATCGACTAGTCAGTTAACCGCAATGGCACATCCTTAGACCCGAGCTGCCGCTGCTTGTGATGTGATGGGCTGGGCCTGGCCAGAGCAGCCCGCAGAGCGGTGGGCCCAGCTGGGCTGCTCCAGCATGGCCAGTCCCACCACCCCTGGGATCCCAGTTAAACTGTTAGACAAGAATGTGATGGGCAACCTAGGCTAACGTTTAACATCCCGTTTACCTGGTTAACTTTTTAACCGGGATTTTACATCTCTGAGGGTAGCCACCTGTCAGCATCATCTGGGTCTGTCCCTAGCTTGCAGGGCAGCTGCTCTCCAGAGCTGTTCAGTATCCGAATTTGGGTGGTTGAGTAACTGGGATGGAGAGTGAAGTGGAGAAGGGCTGAGGCCGCCTTATGGCACAAGGAAGTGGGGATTTTCCTTTGGGACAAGCTGTAGCTGGGGAGCTTGAACCGTCTGGGGGCTAGTGAGGGATTTTCCTTTGGGACAAGCTGTAGCTGGGGAGCCTGAACCATCTGGGGGCTAGTGAGCGAGGGGCTTATCTCTGGGTGGTGAATGCAGAGCAGGTGAGAGGGGAAATGACATTCCTAAAATACACAGAGCGGGGCTGGGAGGGAGCGTTCCTCTAGAGCTCAGACCTGTGACGTCCCCGCAGCCCCAAAGCTGCAGTTGAGGGACTGTTTCTGCTCTTGCAGCCCACAAGGGACTCTCTCTGCTCCCTAGCTACAAGCATGCTCGAGACCTCAGTCGCCCGTCTTGCACCCCCTGCTGGTTCTGGAGACGCAGGGCCTCACGCGTGCTGTTGGCGTGAAGGCGAAGAGGGACAAGGCAGGGGATTTGCCTTGTAAAGCCTCACCTGGGTGGTTTAGTCTCCAGGTGGCTACACACCTGGTGTCTTTGTGCCCTTTCTGGGAGTAAGGACTTGAGGCACTTGTAGTTAAGCAGGGATGGGCAGGACAGCCTCCATGGGCCGGGTCCAGCCCACCAAGCCAAGTGATCCGGCCCATGACTGCCCTGCCCCCAGGCCAATCAAGACCTGAGAACAGGGGAACGCGCAGAGTCTCCCCCCTTCCCCCCCCCCATCGGGCTGTGCAGTGCCTAGAGAGAACCGCCAGCTGTTCAAAATGGTTGGTGGTTCCCTAGGCAACACGTGCCCCTGGCAGGGTAGGGATAGGGGGCAAAGACTTCACGTGCTCCCTCGCCCCCAGGCTAATCAGAGTCTGGTGGGGAGGGGGGAGAGCATGTGAAATCTCCTGGCCCCGCCCCTTCTGCCCGAGGCCCCGCCCCTTCCGGGATGGCCGGCCACCACTTCGTAAAGGCGTAAAGTGGGGCCCCTTCAAAAATAATTGCCCACCCCGAGCTAAAGTCACACCGCAGCCTTTGCGGTAAGGAGCAGCCTCGCTCTCAGGCTAATCAGAGTCTGGTGGGGAGGGGGGAGAGCATGTGAAATCTCCTGGCCCCGCCCCTTCTGCCCGAGGCCCCGCCCCTTCCGGGATGGCCGGCCACCACTTCGTAAAGGCGTAAAGTGGGGCCCCTTCAAAAATAATTGCCCACCCCGAGCTAAAGTCACACCGCAGCCTTTGCGGTAAGGAGCAGCCTCGCTCTCGTTACTGAGGGATCCCTTCCACAAGCTGTTTTAAAGCCCAGGCACTGCCCTCCGAGGCGAAGGAGAAGCCCACGGGGAGCATCGACTCGTACCTGAAGTCGGCAAACAGCTGGCTGGCCGAGAAGAAAGACATCGCCGAGCGCCTCTTGAAGAACACGTCGGCGAAGACCGAGAACGTGAAGGGCTTCTTCGGGGGGCTGGAAACCAAGTTCATGGGCAAGAAAAGCGAGTGAGTGTCGCTCCGCTCACCCCTAGTGGGGGGCGTGTGCTGCGGCCTACATGAGCGCGACATACAGGCCACATGGCTGTCAGCCAGACACATGCCTGTACCGTCTGGGATAGACGCATGAGGACCTCCATTACCTCTCAGGGCTTCATCTCCCCAAATCACATTCACCCAGCCACTAGAGTAGTCATGGGCAACCTACGCTGGTGGCGGGCCACTCACGTGGCCCCCTCACTATCTTAGTGGGCCGCAAGAGTCCATAGCGTGACACTGTGGCCAAAAAAGCAAACATGATTTTGGGCTGCGTTCACGGGAGTGTGGTGAGCAAGACCCGAGAAGTCATTCTTCCGCACTACGCTAGCTGATTAGGCCTCGGCTGGAGTATTGTGCCCAGTTGTGGGCACCACATTTCAAGAAAGATGTGGAGAAATTGGAAAGGGTACAGAGAAGAGCGACAAGAATGATTAAAGGTCCAGAGAACAAGACCTATGAAGCCAGGCTTCATGAACTGGGCTTGTTTAGTTTGGAAAAAAGAAGATTAAGGGGGGACATGATAGCGGTTTTCAAATATCTAAAAGGGTGTCACAAGGAGGAAGGAGAAAATTTGTTCCTCTTGGTTTCTGAGGACAGGACAAGGAGTAATGGGCTTAAAGTGCAGCAGGGGAGGTTTAGATTGGACATTAGGAAAAAATTCCTAACTGTCAGGGTGGTCAAATATTGGAATAAATTGCCAAGGGAGGTGGTGGAATCTCCCTCTCTGGAGATATTTAAGAACAGGTTAGACAGACATCTGTCAGGGATGGTGTAGGTGGAGCTTGGTCCTGCCTTGAGGGCGGGGGGCTGGACTCGATGCCCTCTCGAGGTCCCTTCCAGTCCTATTATTCTATGATTCTATGATTCTATGAATTGGGCTTGTTTAGTTTGGAACGGAGAAGACTGAGAGGGGACCTGATAGCAGTTTTCAGGTACCTAAAAGGGTGTCACAGGGAGGATGGGGTGGGGGAGAAATGATTCTTCTTGGCCTCTGATGATCGGACAAGAAGCAATGGGCTTAAATTGCAGCAGGGGAGGTTTAGGTTGGACATTAGGAAAAACTTCCTAACTGTCAGGATGGTTAAACTCTGGAATAAATTGCCTAGGGAGGTTGTGGAATCTCCATCACTGGAGATATTTAAGAGCGGGTTAAACAGACATCAGGGATGATCTAGATGGTGCTTGGTCCTGCCGTGAGGGCAGGGGACTGGACTGGATGGTCTCTCGAGGTCCCTTCCAGTCTAGTGTTCTATGATTCTGTGAAGATTGTCACACAACACACAGTCAAGTGACAATCTTCACAGAATCATAGAACACACAGTCAGTGCTTTGCTAACTGCACTTGGGTACGTAGGATTTTCAGGGGGTGCCGATTGGCTGCAGAGGGAGCACCCGGCTCTTACTATCAGTGTTGTGTGTAGTCAGCCCCCACTTCGCTTCATGGGCCCTTGATTTGTGTGTGTCACTTTAGTAATAGCGATAGGAAAAAAACTCTGGATGGAAACCAGGGGCATGTGGCAACCCTGCGCATGAGCAACAGTAACAAAACGTTTTGCACAGAACCCCGATGGGCTGCACGAAAGGGTGAGACAGCTGCATGGGTAGCTACGATTCCACCCAGCACGCACGGACAAGGCCCTTCAATCTGTGTGAGCCCCTAACTGCACAGGCTCTCCAGTGGTAGCTCTTCACTCTACGTGGGCTTCCTAGTGAGGTCTGTCCTTACTGTGTGCCACGACAGGGTCTCCGTGGTTTCCAGACTGCTCTGAAAGCCATCTGCCTAGCTGCCCGGCTAGACCATGCCGGTGTGCAGCAGAAATCCTGCATGTCGCATGCCGTTGGCTGCTCTCATTTCTAGCCTGTAATGCTAGTTGGCAGAAAGTATAAATTCCCTAAACGCCAGAGAGATGTTTGACCACCAGCGGGAGTGGGGGGAGGAGGCCCATGTGTTCATGGATGGGCATACATGTGTCCCCAAGACTGCCTCTCCGTTCAGAGATGACTCTCTCAGTGAGAAACGCCACTACAGAGAGAAGGGAACAGCCTTCTGTGGGCTTTCTGACTCATCGCTCCGACTCTGCAAGAGTGGCTAGTTCCAGGTCTGTAGGGTTCTCTAGTGGCTAGCTGTGGCACTGGAAGTCAGGAGAACTGGAATGCATTCCTGGCTCTGCCACTGAGTCTCTGGATTACCTTGGGCACATCAACCAGCCTCCCTGTGCCTCAGTTTCCCCATCACAGAAAAGAACCTAAGAACGGCCATACAGGGTGAGACCAAAAGTCCACCTAGCCCAGTGTCCTGTCTTCCAACAATGGCAAGTGCCAGGTGCCCTTGGATGATTGCCTGTTCTGTTCTTTCCTTCAGTGATCCATTTTCTGTTGCCCATTCCCAGCTTCTGACAAACAGAGGCTAAGGGCACCATTCCTACCCATCCTGGCTAATAAGCATCGATGGACCTATCCTCCATGAATTTATCTGGCTGTCTTTTGAACCTTGTTAAAGTCCTGGCCTTCACAACATCCTCTGGCAAGGAGTTCCACAGATTGACCGTGTGTTGTGTGATGAAAAACTTCCTTTGGTTTGTGTTAAACCTGCTGCCTAATACTTTCATTTGGTGACCCCTAGTTCTTGTGATATGGGAACAAGTAAATAACTTCCCCCCCCCCCCCCCCCCCCGCCCTTGTCTCCTCTTTTCTAAGCTAAAAAGTCCCAGTCTTTTTAATCTCTCTTCCTATGGCACCTGTTGCAAACCCCTCAGCATTTTTGTTGCCCTTTTTTGGAATTTTTTCCCAGTGCCCAGGTAAGAGAGGGATAATGGGCTTGCCTGCTTTGGAGAGAAGAGTGTCGGCCAAGCAGTGGGAGACGTTCTGGGGAAATAGGCTGCGTAGGCGTGAGGTGGTGGTTGAGAGGAGCTCTCCCTAGGTACTTTGGCTGAGGTGACGTAGCACCTCTCAGTCAGTCGCTTGTATGTCCCCATAGCTTCTCGCCCGGTGGCCTAAGGTGCATGTCAGCGGGAGAGTTGTATGGGCTGGCAGGGGGCAGAGCTGGTTGCTGCTGTGGGGCATTGGTTTCTGGGAGGGAGGAGCTGACAATGTGCTTTTGTCCCTGAAGGGACGGGGAAGAGAAGCCGAAGGAGAAGCTGCAGAAAACAGGTAAGCAGAGCGGCCATGAAGCAGTGGCCTCAGCGAAGGGATCCAGGAGGGGCTTGGAGGGCAGCCACGGTGTGATAACCCAAGGCTCAGCCAGCATCACGTAAGTGGCTGGCAGAGCCAAGTTGCCGTGACTGACAGCCGCTCGGGGTTGCCACGGCACTTCAGGCAGCTGCCGGGGAAGTTTTCCTGGCCTGCTCTTCAGAGCGGTAGCATCTCCCGGTCCACAGCAGCATCCCCCGGCTGCCGAACGCAGCCCGCGCACAAGCTGTGTGGTGCTTTGTGTGGTCGTTCCCCTCCCCCACGGAGCGTGGGCAGAGCCCGCTACTTGCGGCTCGGCTTTTCTCTCCCCTTGGGGGATGTTCCGAGCTGATATTTTCCCGGCTACGGGAGGGAGGCGGCCTGGGCGTGGGGTGGGCAGGTTCGGGCTAAGCTTGTGTTGGTACCGATCAGCCGCCTCGCAGCCTGAGCGGGACATCTGCTTCCTCGCAGTTTCCCTGTACAGCCCCGAGGAGGAGGAAGAGGAGAAGAAGGGAGAGAAGATCTATTTATACATGCACCTGAAGCAGCAGCCGATCTGGTAAAGCCACCCTGCACGGGCAATGGCACCCCTAGCATAGCACCAGCCGTGCGGCTCCCGGAGCCGAGCCCAGCATTGCCGCCGCTGGTCCTCCCAGGCTGGCCCCGTGACTTGCTGCCCTTCCTCCTTGTTCCGCCGGGGGCCTGATCCTGGTACTCTGCTCTTTGCACACGGCTGCCTTCCCCCGCCCCCCAACCGATGAAATCTGTCAGTGCGGCCACGGAGCAGACTCAGGATGTGAAGGGTTAACCGGTGAGGGCTGGAACAGCTCCCCCCTGCTTCAGCCCCATGCAGGAGGCCTGCTATGGACAGGGGCTGCTGTGGCCAGGCTGGAGGCGGGGGGAGGGAGGCGCTCCAGCCCAGCAGCAAGCAGAGGGGCCACTCCAGCCAGACTGGCGCATCCCCCTTTCCACTTGCTCCTTTTTAATCCATTAACTGGTTAAGCGGCATGTTCAACCGGTTAGCCAACTCAATGGGATTTTGCCTCCGTAGACCAGACTCCTCCCCCCAAAACCAGGACTGAAAAGCTCACGCCAGCTGACTTCCCTTTGCTGCGTGCGGTGGGCATACGAGCCCCCGGTTGGCTCTGTGTGGATGGCAGCTGGGCAGGACCCGGTTGTGCATGGGCACACGCGCCTTGCCTTGGCTCAGGGGCCGCGACCCTGCTCTTGGGCGCGCCGCCCAGTCTCCAATGCCTTGTCCCTGTGTCGCAGGCACACCCTGAGGTTTTGGAACGCTGCCTTCTTCGACGCCGTCCATTGCGAGAGGAGGAAGAGATCTCCCACCACCAGGTAGGGCGGGAACACCGAGTCCTGGCTGCCCTTGGCAAGGGAGGGCTGGAAGGCAGGGGGAACGCCACCCGGGGCTCACTCACCAACTCCCCTGCCACCAACTGTGGAGATGATAGGTTTCTGCCCCCTGTCAGCTGTTCAGATCCACCCAGCTGATGGCTGATTAAATCCTGTTGCACTGCGAGATCAGTTGCCGTGGCTAACGCTAGCACTAACTGCCCGACGGGCCAGGCGCAGTGTTGCAAGGGAGGAGAACAGTGCAAGGAACCTGCCCCCTCCTCCCAGCTGCCTTTCTGAGGGGCCTTCCCCGGCGCATGGCACCGCGTGTGGTGAGGCTGCCTCCTAGACACGGTAGCTGTTGGAAAGCGCGGAGCTTCTTCCTTCAAGGGCTGCTGATGGCAGCGCAGGCCCGGTTGTTAGAACTGGCTGGGGCGAGGAGCAGAGGCTGTAACTTCGCAGGAAAGCATCTCCTCGAGCATCTGTTCGATCACACAAAGCCAAGATCAAATAATATTGAGGTGTCTGGTTGCCACAGGCTTAGAGAGGTTCAGCGGTGTAATTCCCACGGGTGTTACAGAGGTCGTGGGCTTTTGGGACAGGAGAAATCCATTGAAATCATCTCTCCGTCATAGCTACTTCTGTAGAGCAAATAGGTGATGACCAGTCTTCTTTTACTGGCCTGCCAAGACCTGAACTCAGTCCCGCTTTCACCCTGTCTCTGCTCTCCTGATCTGTCAAAACCGAGGCAGATCGCAGGGAAATGCTTTGCCTCAAGTGGTTGATTACAAGGCTGCACTTTGTCAGATGCATGAAGTGGAAATTCCAGAGGCAGGTATAAACATCCAGGCACAAGAAAAGAGTTCCAATCAAGAGTAAGGCTAGTGATAATGAGGTCAATGCAGTCAGGGCGGATGAGGCCCACTTCTAGCAGCTGATGTGGAGGCGTGAACACCAAGAGAGGAGAAACTGTTAGTCTATAAGGTGCCACAGGACTTCTCCTTGTTTTTGCAGATTCACACTAACACAGCTACCCCTCTGATAGGGGAAGTTTGATTGCTAGGATTGCGGACATCCTCTGAGTGTTGCAAAAGGGGCACAGATAGAGGAATGGAAGTGAAACTGACTCAAAGCACAGAAGTGAGATTGATCTTTCAAGCTACTGAATCAAATGTTGAAATAAGCGGTGAGGAGTCAGTCTGGCTTTTAAAATTCTCCATGACTTGCCATTCTGCAATGCTGTTTATACAGAGGGTAGGTCACTTTAAAAAGACTTTTTTCTTGTAACCTGACAGCGTCCCTTTAAAAAAGATAGCATGGAGATGTGCGTAAGGCACTGGCCTGGGAGTCAGGAGACCTGGATTCTGTTCCTGCTCTTCCACTGACTGTGTGTGTGACCTTGGGCGAATCCCCTCGCTTTGCCACTGTTTCCATCCCTGTGAAATGGGGGCAATTCTTCCTTACCTTTGTAGAGTGCTTTGAGATCTGTGGTTGAAAACCACCAAGCGTTGCAATCCAGGACTCGACGCCTGGAGCGCTAATTAGCTTCTTAGATGTGGTCCTGAGAGAAGTGCCTGTTCGCCAGATAGGAAGTGCCCGGATGGACAGGAAAAAGACTGGCACGTTGTCAGTATTTTTCCAACACAAACCAATGAAAGACCCTACTGAGCAGTATTACAGCTTGCATTTATGAAGCATGAAATTAGCAGGAGCAAATGCCTCGCGAGGTCATGTGCCTTTGGCAGCTGCACTCTGGTGAAAATGCCTTTTTTTTTTTTTTTTTTAAACTAACTGGATGGTTGATTTCCCCGGTCTGCAAAAACAAAACCTATTTGTAATAAATAACTTTTCTGAGCGGTGGCCCGGGGGCATTGCAAATATTGCTGACCTGTGGAGAAGCTGAGATATCTCATGCTGCTCCATTGGGAACCTAGGAAAAGCCGGCTGCATAATATGAACCTGGGCATCGCTTGTGGAACGAAAATATAAATCATAGCAGGGAGAGCAGGTTGAAAACTGGTAGCGTCCTGCCATGTGCTTTGGGACGCTGTAAAAATGCCAGGTATGGTGGTTCACCTTTTACCTACAGTTAAAGAACTGTCCTAAATCCACTGACAGCGTCACTGTGCTTTGTGAGAGAAGCTCTAAGGAAGGCCAAGGGGAAGCCCTTTGACCGTCTGTGCTGGTTTGAGTCTTGTATCAACATCGCTTCAGTCAAACCTGGTCCCCAGTGAGTGATTGGCCATGGCAGTCAGGTTCCTATTAAAGAAGCTTTGAGCATCCCATGATGGTCCCAGTTAGACCCCAGGATATTATTATTCACAAGGGCGTTTCTGGGTCTTCATCCCCTACTGCTTGAGTAGCAAGCTGGTTCGCAGGCTAAACCTTCCAGTGTTTGACACGCTGGTCATGCTGGCCGGTAGGGGATAGCTCTAAAACTGAGGCGGGAAATTCCAAGATTCCTCCTGCTGGAATGGCAGTTTTAGCTCCTGTTTCTGCTCCTCATCCATCCCTGGTAGGTGCACACTGAGGGGATGTCTAGACTATATACCTCTGTCACCAGAGGCATGTAGATCAGGCTACCCGGCATAGGGAAATGAAGTGGCGATTTAAATAATCACTGCTTCATTTAAATTTAAATGGCTGCCGCGCTGTGCTGATCAGCTGTTTGTCGGCTCAGCGCGCTAGTCTGGATGCTCCGCGGTTGACATCAAAGGCATTTGTCGACCTCCCCGGTATGCCTCGTGGGATAAGGTTTACCGGGGAGGTCAACAAATGCCTTTGATGTCGACTGTGGAGCGTCCAGACTAGCGTGCTGAGCCGACAAACAGCTGATCGGCACAGCGTGGCAGCCATTTAAATTTAAATGAAGCGGTGATTATTTAAATCGCTGCTTTATTTTCCTATGCCAGGTAGCCTAATCTACATGCCTCTGTCGCCAGAGGCATGTCGTCTAGACATACCCTGAGTGCCGGGCTGATTTGGGGTGAGACCGTAACCATCTGTATCCATGCCCCACAGGCCAGGAGATTCATTCAAGGGAGAAAAATGGTTTGTCCTCTAGTGTGTAAGCCCCAAAAGCTGTGTCTAGACTACATTCCTCTTTCGAAAGAGGAATGTAAATGAGGCAAATCAAAAGCGCAAATGAAGCGCGGATTTAAATATCCCGCGCTTCATTTACATGTTCATGTCCGAGCGCTTTTTTGAAAAAGGGGTTTTTCGAAAGTGAAAACGCAGTCTAGACAGGGTTCTTGTGGAGAAAAAAAAAAAAACCTTTTTCAAAAGAACCCGTACTCCTCATTTTTTCAGGATCACAGGTTCTTTTGAAAAAGGGAGGGGGGTTCGAAAGAACCCCATCTTGTCTGCGCTTTCACTTTCGAAAAACCCTTTTTCAAAAAAGTGCTCAGACGTGAATATGCAAATGACGCACGGGATATTTAAATTGGCGCTTCATTTGCGCTTTCGATTTGCCTCATTTACATTCCTCTTTCGAAAGAGGAATGTAGTTTAGACGTGCCCCAAGTGTCCCCTACTGGTACATTCCAGCATCCACCCTGGTGCTGCGCGTGTGTGTCTGATGCTATCCAGCGCTTCCCCTTCCTGAGGGCTGAAGGGCTCGTCTGCTGTAGAAGTCAAATGTGAAGCAATGAAATTGGAAGATACTGGACGCAGTCAGTCAGTGCCCAAGTACTGTGGGATGCTGTGTGCTGTCATGTGGTACCCAGACACACACAGGCCTGCCCTGGCCTTCCCCTCTGCTTTGGCTGTTGTGGGGAGGGAGATATAAGTTGCACTTTCTGCGTTGCACCACGGCTTTTTGTGGCATCATTAAGCCTCAAACGGAACTAAGTCCTGCTACAGCTTTGTAGCATTCTGTTGACACTTCCATCTCCCTCTTCCCTCACAGAGATCTTCAGGTTTCAGCAGCCCTGCAGAGAGGTGTGTTTTCCAGCCTGGGCTAGGGCGTCATTCCGAGAATCCATGACAGCCGTGCAAATTGCTGACTCGGGGTTAGGCAAGGATGACTTGGCCTGGTTGTCTGTGGTATCACTTAGAGACTGTGTCAGACATAAGGGATAGTGTGAGAGCCTTTTTCTAGTACTCAAGCCAAAATTGTACCCTGAAGTATGCAGGTGCAGTCCTCGCCAGGGGCATGTGTCACTTGCTCCTGCGTGTAGACAGGAATCGAGAGTGAGTGGATTGAATCTTGAGTCTAAATCTCCCCAGAAACTCTTCTCTGCTGTGCTTGGTTGTCTTCATTTATCCCCATCGGGTTTTTTTAGAAGCCGTCACTTCCCAGCTATTCTTGTTATATTGCCCCCCCTAGAGAGGTCCTCACCCTATTGGAATTAACCCAGTAGCCACTTGGAGACCCAGCCAATGCTGTGCTAAATTCTGCAACCGAAACTTTGCCGCAAGGAACCCTGTGGTGTTCCGTAACCTCTGCTGAGACTCAACAGTGAGCGTGCTGTCTGACATGAACAGCAGCTTTGGTGCACCCAAAACATGCTCAATAGTTATAGCTACGGGCAGCAGTTTTGTCCCGGAAAACTTCAAGATGAGTCCTAGTTTGCTCACAGTAATCCAAAGAAAATTCCCAAAGCACGCAGAGCCGGATAAAGTTATTTCCACCCCATCAGTGACCGAGGAAGACATTAAACACCATTGAATAGGCACAGAAATATCATTGGCAGGTTCAGATAACTTCACTCAAGAGTCCTCAAAGAGTTAGCTGAGGAGACTTCTGTTGACAGATTTTAGGGAATGTTGGCATATCGGGGAAATTCCAAAAGTGTTTTGGCAGTATTCTGGAACGGCATGCACGGAGACTCAGGACAGGCCAATCAGCACGCTGTCAGTCCTGGGCAAAATAATGTATAACTTGATATGGAGCTTCAGCTGAGAGAGAGTGAAAATATACATATAATTAATGCCAGTCTGCATAGTTTTATGGAAAATAGACGTTGTCAAACAAATCTGATTTCATTCTTTGAGGCGATTAC